TTCCCACAGTGACACATTCCTTCCTGGAATAAAACAAACATTAATTATTATTTTATAAATGATCATTGGATGATCTGCAATGAACTAGCAACATGCAGTAAAGGTTTCCAAAGACTCATAAATCTCATATTGATGTTGTGCGTAGATATTGCATATGCATCTCTAATKCATGCATGAAGGCTTCCTTCACCTGGTCCCAACTGTACTTGTCATGTAAAAATTGAGTATCTTTGATCATCACAGTGGAATTATAATAAAAGACAAAGTCATTCAATCTCACTAAATCCCTAGTTTAAGAATCTCGACCCATGTTAGACGCGTAACCTTAGATTGTGAGGTGTGGAGTCCTGGAAAAATTGATGTGGCGGATCCAGGATTTTTCAAAGGGGGATTCACTTTGTTTTCGCATTTTCCTAAAACGAACTTTTTTACTGTGCCTCTCGAACTGTAGCAAATGTAACATGAGTGTAGTTATAGACAGCGCATCTCTTAAAGTCTCAAAACGCTTTTCATTTTTGAGTGCGTACATTGCAGCCATGTGGTAAAAGTGTATAAAGCCGTTTACCTATTGTAAGATATAAGCCAGCTACTTTTTTTATTTTGTATGCTCGAGGGGGGTCCCTAGGAACCCATGGAACCCCCCTGGATCCGCCACTGAGACAATATATATAATACAATTTTAATGACGACAACATCCACCTGAGCAAGATATTTCCCATACTGAGTCTTAGTAGCAACACCATTCTTCTTAATCCACCTCAATGTTCTTGCTTGAAATCCACCCCTGCAGCCATGATTACCAACKCCCCACGAACAATCAAGCAGCTGTTGTTTTGAGAGTTCAATTAACTTTCYTKTCTAAAGAGAAACATGACATTAGCTCAAAGTGATGACATAAGAAATTCACATAACAAATATCAAATTTTTTTTGATTTTTTTATTTTCAAAACAATCTTAGAAGTTTGTATAATTTATTTTGCACTTCTGCAGATGTACTAAGAGTGCAAGCATTCAGCTTTGCTAATTCGTACTGTAAAGATTCTTCGAGATTTCCAGGAAACACTGTATCAATGTCCTTTTAACACCAACCTTGAAGAAATTCATGGCCTCCACAGCACCTAAAACAGAGAAAGTCCAACAAGAACCACACATTCCTTGGCTGTGAACTGGTGATACTGCACCTGAATATTTTTGGGATATTTTCAAATTTTAGCATTTATAATTTTATAACTTATTCGTGGGAATAAAAACGTGGTTACTCTCAAATCTTCTTTAAGACTGATATGATTCAAGATCACAAATTTCATCGTATATCTTCAAGATAATATATCTCACCATAATCTCTCCAGTCAAGGTTCGCGGGGAGATTTCCTAATGCTAGACTAAGGTTGAAGATGAAGTGTTTKACAGTAAGTGACTTGGKATGTGGTTCATGAAGCAGACCGTTCTTCAGCCTGACTTCTTCGTCTGACAAATCTGTCAAATGGTTTGGCTTTAAAACGTACTTCAWATGTCGGCGATTTTTRGAATGGATGAACCTAGAATTGAAAYTCGCAGAGATATAAAAATACGAGTGTAAGTGAACATTATGAGCCATGAAATAACAACAATGTTGATGCGAAAAATACAAAACTCCTAAAAATGGTTTCAAGTTTTAATTATTTCTATAATATAGTTAGTGTAAGTGGCATTCTCCACGGATATCATTGAGAGTCGCCGGCTTCCTGTTGTCTTTTCCTGGACGAAAGAAGACCAAAGAGCCCCTAACGTCCAATATGGCGGTTACAAGGAAGCCCGAGAAATTAAAAAAGAGAAAAACACTAAGTTGAAAGATATAAAGAAGACAGGGAGTTGTTGAAATGCTCACCTAAGATTATGTTTGTATATATGTTTGTGAGCTTCATGTTCTTTTCNTGTGGTTCATGAAGCAGACCGTTCTTCAGCCTGACTTCTTCGTCTGACAAATCTGTCAAATGGTTTGGCTTTAAAACGTACTTCATATGTCGGCGATTTTTAGAATGGATGAACCTAGAATTGAAATTCGCAGAGATATAAAAATACGAGTGTAAGTGAACATTATGAGCCATGAAATAACAACAATGTTGATGCGAAAAATACAAAACTCCTAAAAATGGTTTCAAGTTTTAATTATTTCTATAATATAGTTAGTGTAAGTGGCATTCTCCACGGATATCATTGAGAGTCGCCGGCTTCCTGTTGTCTTTTCCTGGACGAAAGAAGACCAAAGAGCCCCTAACGTCCAATATGGCGGTTACAAGGAAGCCCGAGAAATTAAAAAAGAGAAAAACACTAAGTTGAAAGATATAAAGAAGACAGGGGCATTTGTTGAAATGCTCACCTAAGATTATGTTTGTATATATGTTTGTGAGCTTCATGTTCTTTTCTGGTTCGATAAGACTTTTTGTGATCTGTTTTGTAGCTGTGGTAAGCTTTCTCGAGTTCCTTGTCATAGGCGTGAYTAAAATGCATGAATTCTGCCATTGGATTCAAAATATACGTTGAAGCAACTCGTTTTTTCTTGGTGCAGGTTATTTCTACAAAAGAAATCATGAATGACATATAACTAGTTATAAGTTAGTCCTCAATTTGTACAGAAGTGCTTTAGTTTAAAGAGTTAAGGACCCGGTCAATTTGTCAATTTCAAGGAGAAGAGTAGCTAATCACGTCGCTACTTTTCATGCTCCTTCCACATTACTTCGCCCTAAAAAATTCACATATACACTGTAACTTCATACAAAGATCACACTGTCTTCATTGTCTTACTTTTCGGTACGTTGAATACCGTTTTGTTGAGCTTCCATGGTTCAAATATGRTGTAGTCCAGAATGTAATGATCATAATGTGACGTCATCATTTCATCATAGCCTATCATTTCAAAGCGCAAAGGCTTATGGGGTGCACGTGCTGTTACATATAGTATGTATGTATTGGTTTTGTTGAACTGTATTTTCASTCTGGTAAACTTATAACAAAGTTGACCTTGATGCTCCTCCTYTCCTGACATCTGGAATAAAGAAATCAAAACATTTCATGTCGTGATTTTCAGCAGATATTTTCCCCAATTCCATTGACTAAGATTTGCCGGTTCAGAGTGTTACACCTATTTCAAAAAACGTTGTCGTCACACGACACAGTCCACAGTCTTGAGCCTGCAAAGAATCTCGGGGTTCCATGCGTAATTTTAATTAATATTAAGATATATTSAAAATATATTGTGGTTTGAATTCAATGCCGGCAAGCACTACTGATATACTATTACGGACAATAGTATAAAAAGAAAAACTGATTCCACGCTTTCAAACCGTCAATGAGTTTCAAAGCTATATTCGCTACGAGACTGAGAATAATCCAGTTTCAAATTCTCCAATACTCTGTGTCAGCCTCATTTATGCGCAAAAAATTACTAATTGTGCTGAATAAAAAGTGTGAGATTTCAAATCTCTCTTTTCAAATTCCAAGCGTTTTCTCGGGCTTTCAATGAAACAAAAGAAGAAGTTGCTTGGTTTTGAGGCTAACACAGACCAACYAGAACTCTAAATCGGAGTATTTTGAATAACTAAAATTGAATATATAATTTCATATGGCAATCCCGAGATTCTTTGCAGTCTCAAGACCGTGGACTGTGTCCTGGCGACAACAACATTTTTTGAAATAGGTGTATATTTAAGCGACTTACGCTGGAACGACGGAAATCTAGTATAAACTGCTTTATTTGGAAAACAACAGCAAAATAATAATGTGATGAAAACAGGGCAGTTCATTATTTCCATAATTCCATAAAAATAGATTTCAAGGTGCGTGAGGTGTCTAGACAAAAACAATTCAGACATGTTGACCTTTGATTAAGCTAGCTACAAATAGCTAGAAATCAAATCTAATTATTTTTGCCTGTTTTAGTAATGAACTCCTTGCAGTCCTGAGATTGCGACTCCATCTGGAAATTACCGAAAACGATACTGAACAACAATTGGATCCTAGAGGGATCAAAGAGAGAAAAAACATCTTTTGTTTTGCCCGCCAAGATGAAGCCGCTTTGACGTCAGATTCAAGGGGTCTACAATAAAATACAGTTACACCACAGGAATCCATGTTAACACCTCGATCCTGTTGTGCGACGCTTCATGGGGTAAAGTTATCATARATTTTATCCGTCGGATAGATTGCCCATTGATTTCGGATCCAATCTCTCGGATTGTGGATTATAGAGCATGGATTTATTGTGGATTCCGATTCCTTAGGTCTTGATTTCGGATTCCATTTTTCCACTTTCTCTTTTTTCATACTAAATATGAGGTTTAGCTTTCAGACCACCAATCAATCCTGAATAAAATGAGTTTATCATTACTCGTCGAGAAAACGAAAAATGGAATCCGGAATCCAGACCATTTTAAAAACGCTAAAATTTATCTCTGTGGTTAGTCAGGTGAAAATTSGTTAGAAATCAATTAGGGGACAAGTTGTATTGTGGATCATTTCATTGACAATTATGTAAAGAATAAAACGCGTTAAAGAAAGGAAGGGTGCTGCTTTAGCAAAACAGTTTTGCTTCATATATGTTTTCTATTTTTCCATTTTTTTCTCTCGTATCATTTATTTGTCTTCACGCGTCTGCGCTATATGTCCTCAGTTCTATAGCCGTACGAAGTGTGAACAAACAACTTCCTGAAATCTTTCCCTGCCCTATATAGAGTGCAACTGTARATAAATTGTTTGTTAAATAAATGTATCAAAAAGGCTTACTTTGAATTCTGATAGGTTGTTTGGTACAACTGTCTGTGGTTTTCTATGCATCCATTTTGGCAAAGGCTTGTACCAACAGCTAATGTATACATCGTTCGATGGTCTGATACCAGAATGCATTGGGATTATCTTGAACATCTCTCCGTATTCRCCTAAATCACCACGCTGGATTGTCTTGTCCATACCTGGATTATCATAGCAGCAAAATACTTGCTTATACTTGTTATAGTTTGGTAACTCGTTCTCTTCAAGTATATATCATAGTTTACAAGTGTGCACTAGCTGGTTTTGAAGTAATTCATACAGGCTCACGTACTCCTAGCTCCAAACAAATTACTACATACTTAATAATAATCAATATAACTSTATGTGGATAAACTCGYTCAAATCACTTCACGTGATACCTCATCATAAGAKAGTCACGTGACATGCGCTTTTATAAAAATTTTGTATTCACGTGACTTGCCAATATAAGTCACWGCTGTCACGTGACTTACCATTATAGTAGTCAATGCGACTCATGTTGATGTCACCTGCGTACCACGCCTCAAAAGGCTCAACGATGTCGTCATACGGTAGACTCAGGAAACCAGTAGCATGATATCGCCATGGAAACGTGAGAGCTTCATCTCGGCGCTGSCGGCTTTGTGTGGCATKGTACCTAAGAAGACACTTAATCCCAAGTAGAATCGTCACCATTGAAACTATTGGTACAATCACTAGCCATCTCTCGTWCATAATAACKGCTCTTTCGTCACATTTCTATTGACACTAGCTGTTCATTGGCAGGGATGGTACGATTTAAGGAAGAGCCCCATTTGGCAATTCTTAGAATGCATTCTACAAYCTCCAAATTGTATTYAAATGACAAATCAAGCCAGTAGCTTACCAATGTGGYTGATCAACACTTGAYGATCTGTTTATGGTACAGCGGTCGTTAATGAATAATTAATAACGTGCTAATTGTGTTTAGGAACTGAAGCCACGCCAGTAGAAGCTATCAGAGTACCGCTTGTTGGTCAGCGGAATATTCATCATATTTATTGATACAAATTATCTAACAAGCAAATTGGTTGTTTGAAATCATTTCAAGAAATAGCGCTTTATAGTTTTTGAATTTTAGTTGCATTTTGAGCAGGTGATTGTACAACAGGTGATCCAATGAAGCGTGTTATTTCAATACTCCCTTAATTTCAATGTTCAACAGCAAAGCAAAATAGCAGTTGCATCGATAGATAACTCCAAAGGATAACGTTCAAGATGGCGCTGGCAACTGCAGAAGAATGGAAGATATATTTTACTAATTTGCAAACTTTTACATAATTGCAAAGACCTCACTCTAGCAATTGCTCATGACATATTGTAAAAGGCAAAAAGCACAAAGTCAGTATTCAGCGACAGACGAATTTGAAATAAGATTTGTAGCTATGATCGCGACACTCTATGATAAATACTCTCACTTTTCATCAGTAACGCCCAGGATTCTTGGGACTCCTTTTCAAGAAAAATACACCAGGCGACTAATGYCACGTCGGTAAGATAGGCATTTTAATTTACCTGACCCCTCGCAGGCCTTGCCCCAAATTTTCAGYGATGATGTCAACAATAACAACGTGCAAACTATGATTAAAATTGTAAAAATATAATATAATAATATTAAGAAAACAATTGGTTTCCAAAGTTTATTGTTGATGCCATGCAAATRTCCCTTTTTCTTTCTTACACTTGTGATTTCTTGTTGTTTTATTTGGTTCTTATAATGAGCTGGTACTGAATGACTATTATAATTATTTCCAGCTTTAAAGATAATATTACAATTGACCCATTTTAAAGGCGAATGTCAGCTATTCGTTCTTGTTGCTTTGTGATATGATTAGACGGTATTTGACTTGGAGGCGATGCGATGTAGGCTTCACTATTTATTGTTCTCCAAGTTCTTAAAAAGAAATAAGAATTCCAAGTATTAATTCATAGATGATAACTTCAAGCTATTGTTGTTGAATACTTACCGCATGCGCCACAAGTAACCCTACAGCCCTTCATAAGGAACTTTCTGATCCTGTATGAGTTAGAGTTGCATTTTTGTCCAAATCTTGTGACCATAAACCGTCGACAAACGAGAGGATATGAGTCACGGCAAGCTGTGTTTACAAAAATTAACTTAAAATAATATTGTAAATAAAACAAATATCTTTGAACACAATTAATCTTTTGTATGTTATGCAACTCTAGGCCTGGGGGCTATACCAAACACGAATATAATRCAACCTAAGAATTTTTTTTATAAACTTTACTTTTATGTGATGTTAAGAATGAATGACAAGAATGTATGATGTTCTGTTGCTAATCAGTTCTTGTTAGTTACTCGGTCCAATACTTACGCATGCAATCCTTTCTATCTGGCCTCAGAGCCGGAACYCCATTCATTATGCAACATCCATGTATAGCCGCGCTACCCCATTGCTTCCTGCATGTTTTCTGAGGACTTGCTGGTTCTAGAGAGAAAGGTATTGATATATTGTTATGACCAATATGTGTTTTATTTGATCGTAAAAAATCCTAAACTTGTAAAAAGAACTAAGAATGACGGTAAATGTGAACTGCTCGAAACTACGCCAACTTTACCGCCGACGTTTTGGCGATATATAGGCGTGACTTCGAAATCAGTCTTAAGTATATTCTAACGACAATTATAATATGAAGCAATTGCTGCAGCAACAAAGAGAATCATTAACTTACTACAATTGCGACATGTATGTGGACAGAGTTCTCTGTAGTAGAAATATCTTTTTAGACACTTCCTTTTTCTTGCTTTGTCTTGTTCAACACCGGGCTTCATCCTCAATATAGAACGAAAATCTGTGTTACAGGTCCCAACTTGCTTGTCATAACAAAGTATTCCTAAACAGAGGCGGACAGTTAGAATATAAATAATGATCTTATCGACCTCAAACACCCCGGAAYCCATCTGTACTGAAGAACGACAACTAACGCCGACAAGATCCTAGCAACACAATTTCACATATACATCGAAATTCAAAAACTTTTCTCTCTCACACTGTGCCTTTGGTGATTCTGTTAGCTTTCATAATACCAAAGATTTAGGATGCCCTAGAGTTTTTCATGAAAAATCGTGATAATGATTCTTTCCAGCATTTTCAACTAAACAAGCTAATGGTTCGACGGAAAAGAAAACATTAAAAATCTAAAAATGAAAAAGCGCCGTTCGAACCCATTTTTGCAATGGGTGCACGCGGTGACTGTTCATTTAATCTATTCAAATGAATACATAACTGCTGAAACCATTTTTCCGACCGATATGGAAAAGATTGAGACCAATTTCGCGCAATTGTGACATGTTTACAAGTCATTGATTCGTACTTGGGCATCCTTGTTGACCAGGCCCATATGGTATACTTATCCCGTCCATGCATCTTTCGTCTGTCTTCTTTCTTTGAGAAACTCGCTTATCAATCTGGTCATCATCTTGAAAGAGTCCGTCATACAATGATGAAACATCGTCTGTTTCAGCCTTGGACCTAGAATCCTCTTCATCTTGTTGCTCCAACGAGTGAAGAATTTGGTTAAACATTTGACTGGCATTTTCGTCTATGTTCGCAGCATGGGACTCATCGGTAGCATCCTTTTTACTAGCGAGHATTTCTTCTAGCTCATCTAGGAGTTTGTCATGGTCATTTGCTAAAAAAATAAAAGGACACAGTATTGAACACTAATTCGTATATTTCGAATATTGACAGGGAGGGGTGGGTTAGGGCAAGTAATTGTATCTGAAGAATTCCATACAATAAAATTTTACATTACATATACTCTTTAATTGTTTTGGCGGATCTTTAATTATGCTAAAGGATTATTTCGAGATAAGGCTCTTAATTGTTAAGGTTAAGATTTGACCTGAGGGTTTTCAATGATTTGTCGTGTACATTCTTCGYATAGCTGACCTTTATGTCRTTTAAATCCCTTAGGGRACAACTACCRATCAATTGCAGCTCGTGGAAAATGAGAAATATGCCTGTTTCCTTTAAATGTATTTTAATTTAGTTTTGACGTCTCAAAATGAAAAACATCTATTGATAAGTACWATCCTTGTGTTGTTGAGATATCAGGGCATTTAGAGAGTTACCACAGGTCATTGAATTATATACATGAACCTTTGTACGTATCATAATAAMATGTCATATCGTCAATTTATAAGCTTACATAGTAAAAAGACACAAATGTTCTATTTTATCAGCGAATCACTAGGTTAGAGGTAAAATATGACAAGKCCAGAAGGAATTAGGATGAAAAAAATGATCAGTTCTATCAGAATTAGAAACTATGACATGAAATTCGCACTCGAAAACCTRAAACTARACTTACCCATGGCACATCCTAAGCAAACCAAGAGAAAAAACCACTTCATGACTGATCTGCCGTCAATGCTTCTTAGTGGCGCTTTGCTGAAACTTCGCTGCTTGTGTTGTGTGAGTGACTGGTGTCGTCTTATTTATACCCCTGTAACGAGTCACTTATTGAATTACGCTTGGCGTGGTAAAGCTGTTACCGAACATAATTCAGATATCAGACAATAGGGAGTTAAGTGGTCTGTGAGGTAGCAGTAAATGTGGGCGGGTGAATACTTTATAAGGACCAGGTCAGATCATCAAAAACAATGACTAGACCATCTTAAAACCTCAAATATAATAAGAGTATCTAAAATAAGACATTGCAGCCCAGTTAGGGTGTGGCTCCTTGATGCAGTCAGAAACTGTACCACTTAACAAAAGTGGGAAACATTCTTTTATCCTTTGCAAGTTTTATTGCTCTAACGTCATTAAAAAATGTTTGAGAAAAATGAGTTMTTTTAGACTGTTTTCTATGGCCTGCAATCAGTCATCACATTAAGAATATATTAACGTTAAATTTTTCAATATGGACACGTTATCGGGATAGTAAATATAACCTTTTTGTGGATAAGATCTCGATCTGCTATGACCATTTTAGGACTCTGCACCTGCGGTTTAACTTAAATGYTTTCTACGTCTTGTTTATTTGTTGTTCGACCTCAATATCTTGTTGGTCATTGGTTGACAACTTTGTTGGTCTGTTAATTTGTTGGTTTTTATTAAATCTACTAGTCTCTTTTTGATATATTTGATTTAATATACAATTACACTTTCTTTGTTGATAATAGAATAAAGTAAATTTTATAAATACTGTACTAGGTTATCAAAAATAGGCATTTAATGGAATAGCTGAAAAGGTCGTTACAGCTGTTGATTTAATGTAATCAACCAACCGCATTTTTKAAGTAATGGTCAAAGCTAAAACGTTTTTGTGACGTTCATGTCCACGGACCATTTTAGATTACGCGCACTTTAATGTAAACTATTTTCTTTATTGTTAACTACAAAACAGTTCTAGTAATTTCACAACCGCACCTACTTAAAAAATTTCATTTGTTTCAATTTAATTTCTTTTTTTTTTTAATTTCTTTCTTTCTTCTATGTTTATAGTAAGTGCATAAGCCATTATATTACCAGCATTTGACACAGAATTCAGACATTGATGATTACACACTTTTTCATCTTATCTCAAACGATTGATTTTTTCCTCTTTAATCATCCCTTTAATATCTGATTCGTCTCGTTTTATAACTGTCTTYATCTTCCCTCTTTCACGCTATTGTTAGTCACATCTTTAGACATTTGGCTTTTTGGTCTCTTTAAAAGACCTTTWTCCAGATGTTTTGTTGTGTTAGAAACGAATTKTATTTTGCAAAGATGACCCTGTGTGTTCTTAGGTGCARCTTTTTGYGAGACGCTTCGCATCCTTTCAGCYAAATGAAGAAGATTACTYCAACGCTTCAAGTCCAAACTATGTCGGAGTTATTTTTCAAAACATTTRTCCTATCCGGATTTCATACTCAAGCAAGTCAAAGGTCCTGAGAATAACGTCATGCATAACTGAGCTTTGAATTGCATGAAGTTTTGGGCTTGCTGGCTCTGTCGTACGTGCTGGGCAAACCCTGATGTTGTTTTTATCGCAAACTAATGAATCAAAGGCGTTGATTCATATTTTTAATATTGATAAGGGTGACCTATAGGTATTCAATGCATTCAATAATACCTCTACGAGGCGGTAAAAAAAAGTCATTATGTAATAGTCACAGATATATGAAATGATGAATTAGAGAAGAACTGTCAACAAAATGTATCCTTCATATTACACGTTTTTCGTTACGGACACCACTACTCACTCTTATAGTTTATATACGTCGCCAACTATAGTTATTATGAAAAACTATGGTATATACTGATAAATATGGTTATGCAAGATATTTGGACGAAAATGTCATRTAAAATCCGAGCACTTTMACTCGCTTAACTTTGATAACTGGAAAATAACTGGAATTTCCGTTTAAAAGGAATTCATTTCAGCCTCAATTCGAGTGCCATTCCAGTCGCCATACTTACATATAAAAATGATGATATCCGGCAGTGAAGCCCCAATACTGACTATTAAATCCACTTTGAAAGCGCTGTCCATTTATCTAAATATGGTATTACATTGMCCTCTGTCAGTGATAAAAATTGTTTGAGCAAACAACAAGTTTTTATACGTTGAGTAATAAAAAATATGTTAAAAGGCGATTCAGCCGAGCATTTGAGAACCAAGAAATCACACAAATCAGTTATGGTGTTCCCGCCATCTTGAATTCCGAGTAGGGTTAAGTATCTTATAAGATCGTTTTCCCATAAATTGCTCGATTTTTTTCTTTCTGATTTTTTTCTTTCTGAAAAAAATTATCACAATATGAAAATGTGGTTTAAAAACGGAATATGTTCAGGAATCCCCCCCAAAAAGGTGCATGAGTCACTACCGATAGCCAGTCTCCTGAAAGCTCATTAACTTTTTTATCGTTTGCAGAAATAATTTTGACGGCTGGATTTCTTATATATTCGATTGCTTCAATTCAGTAAGCACAGCATATATAGTCAAAGATATTTTTCAGAATTCGGAGGAGCTGTTTATTTTGAATCATGCTAGTCCTATCAGCCTAAGTTATACAAATTGTCTAAATTATTACGGCAAAGAGTTGTCGTGTTGGAATGCTTAAAKTGTGTACAACACAACAACAGATTTAACGGAAAGCCTGACCACAGATACCATGATATGGTCGATAATGTTGGTAAAAACAATATTGTGGTCTTAAGTGGTTGTCTAGGAATACAAGGTGTCGTCGTAGTGAATGATAAAAAAAGTGATTTGGCATCGATGATAATTGTCAACAGCAATATTTCATAGTAAAGGATAGTAAAATATTTTTATATATAAATGATTTATTTATAATATTTCTAAAAATAATTTGGTTCAGTGGCCAAATATTAGTATAAGACATCTCACATTTCTCGGTTTTTGCTTACTAATTATCGATTGGCTTCTTCATTTTGTCCAGTCGTTGGTCTCAAAATGTCATGTTTTCACAACGATAGCCTTTTGAGTCTGGCGTGCAAGTGTCGTAAAATGCACGTAAAATGTACGCAAAATGCACGTAAAATGTACGTAAAATGCAATAATAGTGTCGCTCTACGAAAAATGTTTATCAAAAACATATATAACATATCTCGTCATTCTCGGAAAATCCGTCGCAAAACCATTSGGTTGTGTGGTTATGGCGCAATTATTAGTTAAATGACTATGTGGGCAGTTAAAGACTTCTGGATACAGCACTGGTTAACCATCGTACAGGTTACCGTAATGATATTTTGCCGATAGTAGAAAGTCAATTACACATGAATGGACCTTTTGTTTAACCTTTCCGAACAGCCTGTGAATGAATAACTCAGGTCTGCAATTTACCTGGCTTAAGTTTCGTAGCCTAACAAGTCTTTAAAGTTTAAAGTAGAGCCACAAAAGCGTGAATTGACCAAGTCTACATTTTTACTATATTATTTATATCTYGTATAGAAGTTGAGAAAACACCCAGCCTGGAAAACATGTCAGAGTATTTAAGAGAAAAAGGAAGTGGAAGAAGAAATGATCTACATAAATGTGCCTATGCASACCGKTGGTTGGTGTTTGCCAGTCGTGGGATTGATGCGATATCATGATCACAAATCATGCTTCAGCACTAGAAACACTGATRTCATAAGTTTTACTTTTAGACTGGTAGCGTCGCTTGCTGTCCTTTGACACGACGCTGCATTAGCCGTCTTGATGACTCATACAGATTGTACAAACCCGTACTTAGAAAGATTATCATACATCCGTACGCTTATTAAGGTAAGTCTTTTCCATCTGGTAACTGTTGTCCAAGCGCTGACCGACCCCCGAGAGCCACCACAAGTCCTTGCCTCGTATGCCGACGTCCGAGTTTTAACCCCGCTCGGCCAAAGAGGTTTTCTCTTCTACGCTTTTCTTTGATGCTTTTGTTTCGTTTTTTTTTTTTTCACTTCATCTTTATAAGAATTCTCCGGGATTACTG